ACACACACACGTCTTCAATCTGTCCTGTGCACCAGGTCCAGTGCTTCGAAGTACTGTAGCACATTAGAATTTAAGAGGGCCAATGCCAGAAAAAGGCTTCTGAAATCTAACCTTTAAAAATTAATTAATGTTAATGAGAGTCCTGCTTGCTTAAAAAACGTTAGTTTAGAATGCCTTCTACAGACAACCCATGTCACTCCACTGTCTCCACAAAGAAAGGCACTTATACCTCCAACACCCAGAAACAATGCTTAATACAGCCGAGAATCTATGGTATATCTCTAGGAGTTCAAGATCATCAGGACACCTGAGGCTGGGAACAACTGTTCTACAACATACTCCCCTACCCAATTCCAATTTCAGTTCTAGCATAACACTAGAAGCAGCACTCACTGAATGCACGTTCTTGGTTCACAGCTTCCCCATTCCATTCCAGGCATTATGACTGAGGTCATAATGGCCTTTTCTGATTACGGTTCAACAGAACTGTTCCACAACTGGGGATGAGGGCAGGGGCTATTCCTGATTTCAGTCGCTAATGTCTGGAAAACCACAAGCCAACAGGATCTGTTCAACATGAAGCTGCGATTATTAGCATTGCCCCTCTTCTAGAGGTCTTAGACTGGAAAAGAAGGTCCAGCCTATTGGTGAAGTTTATTTATTTATTTATTTATCTTATATGCCGCCCACACTACCCGAAGGTCTCTGGGAGGCTTGGTCAACTTGCCTGGGTCAACTGCTGAGCTGGCCTACACACCTAAGCTATGCTTTGAATCCAATTGTTTTTGATCATACCATGTGTGGTTTTAAAATCTGTCTATCCAAATGAGAGGAAATAATATTAAATATTAAACTTAACTTGGTGCATAGAGTTCTTTTAAACTCAGAAATACTAACCTAGATTACCATCCCCAACCTATCCTTGCTTGTATCCCAACACTCTCATCAGACTATGAGGACACCATATGAGCTACTTCTTTTTCACTTGATTTTCTGTTTCATTCAAAGAGGCAAGTGTGTAGCTACCTGTGGGATATAGCAAACTGGATTACGCATCACGAATACATTTTGCTAATGCACCAGAAGTGCTCTCTGGAACAGGACCCTTTTCAGTGGTGGTGGTACCTTAATTCCTATTTCCTCATAAAACCATCCTACACACATTTTTTTTTAAACAAATGATCTCGGTTTTCTGCCTACTTTTTAAACACTGCTTCAGAAGACATGGGGATCACAGAGTCCTGAAGGACTTTTACTTTTCCAAGGAACATGAAGGAGAAGCCAAGCAAAAAGCAAAAAAAAACAACGGAGAGAGTGCGAGAGAGCACCCTGCAGATTTGTATTTACTTTAAGCCTTTTTCATCCCAGATTTTCAAAGGTTTGGTCCAGGTTGCTCTTCCTGGGAAGGTTTTCCTCTCAGTGTTGCATTAAAACATTCTGTTTCCTGTTGAGGAATAGCCTTGAGGCGCCAGGCAGTAGTTCACAGCAGCCCAACACAAGCACTGCAATTCAGAGCTACTCCCCATTACCAGCCAGGAATGCAGCTTTTGCTGAAGGAAATGAAATGTCCTTCTGTCGAGATGGTTCCCGTCTTTCCCCACCACCACCCCCTTTCTCTTACGAGCAGTGAGCCTTTGAAGTGAGGAGGTTAAAACAACGTACATGCCCTTTTCCCTGGCCCTCCCTTCTCAATAATGGACTTTTAAAAAATTGTGGTGATTACTTTCCTTCAGTGTCACCTTTTAAAAAAAATTTCCTTTCTCCCTGCCCTAGGTTTCCTGCACCAGACCAAAAGTAATGGGGGGGGGGGGAGAGGGGCAGGCTACAAATGTGTTAATTTTTACAGGCGGGTATGCAAAGTTCAAGAACTCCTGCCTTCGCTTCTGTTTACTTTTTTAAAAAAATCGATGTTGCATTGGCAAAGAAATATTGCAGCTTAATTCAGTAGCTATGCTGAAGCTCATAAACTAAGTCTTTCACTTTGTCTTTTTTTTTTTAAAAAAAGAACAATCAACCATAATCCAAGCGCTTGGAAGTATGAGCCACAAATAAGCTGATCGGAGCCTTAAAGGAACAGCTCTGGTGTTGCCTTACAGATATAAAACAGGTCAAGCCAGGATTCTTTTCAAGAAACCACAGATATGCGCTACAGAGACTGAAGACTTCCCACATCTAAGGCTTCACTGGAGGGCTGCAGCTGAAGTCTCGCCAACCCAGGCATGCCCAAGCAGAGGCCAACCCGCAAGTGAAGTCGGCGCAATCAAAGGCAGCAATTACCGTTCCCTTGCTGTGGTTAGGCTTCAAAGCAAAGCGCTGCAAGTCACATTTTAGCATATGTGAAGCCTTGAGCCTGCGCCACAACATGATCTGCCGTTTAGGCTGTAGTGCAGATCTAACTGCAGCAGAGAAAGAAGGAACTGTGCCTCAGAAATAAAAGTTGAATTTTTTTAAAAAAATAACCCACACGGTTAAAAGGTAATGTTGAATTTTTGGCAGCATGAAGGGTACATAATTGGAGACTTATGACGTGCAAAGATCAGAGGATGAATTTTAATTCCTGCCCCCCTGACCAAAAGACGTGGCCAAGAAGTTTTGCCCTTGTTGTCACCGTACATTTATTAAAGGAGTTTGTAAAATGCAATTTGTGCTGGGGGATGTTATTCATTGTTTCAGATTAATTCACTCACAAGTAAGGTATTTAGAATAAAATTTATGAATAAACTGAAGCTGACAGGAAAAGGACTCAAAATCATACGTATTTCATACGTAGATGAGGCACCACCGTATTTACTCTGAAAGCTTCTATCTGTGTCCATTGGTAGTTCTCATCTTTTGGTCATCTAGATATTCTGCATCTCAACTCCCAGAAGCCTCAACCACTACGCCATTTAGTCAGAGATTCTGCAAATTATGTGGACGACTCAAGGATGGAAACCACCAATCCAGAGGCCATTCCTCCACTAACTCAGAAAGGGCATTCCCCTTTTCTACAGTTTATCACATGTAAGGAATTTACATTATTCGAGATGCAAAAACTGCTTTTTTGCTTCCCATGCTTAATAAATGTTGGTCTTTCCTTAAGTAGCAAACCTAATTTTTTCTGCTTGTTCTCATACTTGAGAAAACCTATAGTCTAACCCAGTTTGGGGCAGCTGCAGCCTTCCAGATGTTTTGGCCTCCCACTCCCACTAGCTCTAGCCAGCACAACCAGTGGTAAGGGGTTAAAGGAGTTTTAATCCAAGAAATTCTGGCACACTATGGTTGCCACACTAGTCTAATCTTTTTAAATCTAAGCTCTGTGACACTATTTATTTTCCAGTATCTGCTCATTTGGCATGCTTCTGTAAGCCATAATAATATTGATCACTCTCTTTTCAGATTAGTTCCCAGTTCCATTCCAAGGTTCCTAAACTCTGATACAGTAATTTTAAACTCAGTTCAGTAATCTAGTAGCATCCTTTGTTACAGAATCGTTCTGTCTTCTGAGTACCATTTTAAAATGCTAACAAGGCTGCAACAAACTTTAGGGTACTTCCAGATAACTACTAATTTAAATACATTTTGCAGCTATTCCACTTTTTTTCTGTTTAATGGATTTTCTGCGATATGAAAAAATAGCAGAAACAAAGGTAGAAAAACAGAGGAAGGTTACAAACTGAAGATGATGGCATCTGTAAACTCATCTGGCCATAAAATCTTGCAAATAAGGCAGAGTGATGACACAACTAAGACTCATCTGGAAGTACCCTTAAAATCAGTAGATCAATCACCTGAATTTTAATTAGTTAGAGCTGCAGCTTAAGGATAAACTTCTTTATGTTTCAGGCTTGTTAAAGTAATGGTATTTTACTGTAATGAAAGGATATACTAAAGATGGCTGGTCCTTATAAGACTAACATCTTTTGCTGATTAAATTGTCTCAAAGAAGGGCCTTGGTTGAAGCACAATACTGTACATTTTAATTGATTAATTAACAGACAAATGATTCACCAACTAAATTTTATTTCTGCAGTTGACAGCTCTAACTTTATAACAGGAAATGGCACTTATCTTAGTCAAATGTATAGTCTCCTCCATCCCAATGATTTGATTTCATACATTCCGTTCATAAAGTGATGGCTTTTTTCAATTGTGTGATAAAAACACACTAGTGTTTGCTCCATTTTGTATGTATGCATCAGAATCATTTTACCAACATGGACCAGGTCACGGAATTAAAGGCTTTACTGATACTTGTTTTATATTTATTTCAAATAATGCAGCACCATTATCTATTACAGGAGTGGGCAAAGTGTTGCTTTTAGATACTGAATTATGACACCCAGGGCGCATAGCACAGACTTGCTTTTTCCAAGAACTGGTGCAGTTAATGCAGCAGTCTTAGCCCACAACCATAATCTGAACATCCAGAAGCAAGGCAAGGTGCGTGGGAACTCCCAAACATTATCCTTGTTGAGAAGCAGCCTTGAGGCACTTGTCAAAAGCCCAAAACACCCACATGCAAGTACCGCAGATCAGAGCTACTCCATGTTAACCAGCCAGGGAAAGTCATTTAAGGAGAACTTTATGCACAACAGGCTGAAGCTCTATCCCTAGATCAGCAAACATGTTGACCAAGAGGTTGCCTCTCTTATCTGAATTAAGCTTCCGTTTGTTACCTCCCATCAAGTCCATCCTTACTTTTAAAACACTGATTGGCACATATCCTTTCCGGGTGGTGAACAAGTTACTCTAGCTGATTTGTATTTCTGTATCAAGTAAGTTGCACTTGATAGCCTTATAGGCCCTTTCCAACTTCACTATTTTATGATTCTATGATATGAAGCAATGACTTAGAATTCCCATGGGTCTCCTGTGGGTAACACTGCTCCTATTTGCTCTGATTCATGACACCATAACTCGTGATGTTCCAAGAGGCACCAACAATGTAGGCATTAGTACATATGAGATCTGTTCCAGTTGATGTATCACACCATGGACAATATTCTTGGTCCTTAGCCATCCTGACTATTCATAACAAGATGGATGGAACTAACTCAGTGGTCCAAGATACAATTCATGCTTCCTAGTTAAATGAAATGCCCCTTAATGAATTTAGCTCTCATTAAGAAATAACCTTTGACAGAAAAGATTGTAACAAGTTTCCCCTAGTCACACACATCTCTTTGATAAGAATGGTACTCAAGAAGAGTGTAGTGGGGGAAAGTTATTATCCGGACCCATTTAAGTCCAGGTTCAGATCTAGACTGTGCATTAAAATAGTCCTGGCCATCCTCCCAAATTTTGTTGGGAGAGAGACAGAATTCTTAATCCCTCAGCAGTCTTTGATACTCCCGGCTTCATTGCATTGTGCTGGTCTTGCTAGCTGGATTTGAGGGGACACAGTAATAAAGTGTCATACCTTCAGGATTAATTATAAAATAGCATTTTGAGACCCTACGCTGTGAGGTTCCTGTAAGGTTCCATCTCATTTTCTATGCTCTTTAAACTGTATGTGAATTTTCTGGGAGAGTCCAAAGACAGGAAGTCAGATATTATCAGTATGTTTACGGCACAAGGCTCTACATCTCTAAGTCACCTGAGTCAGAAGGACATGCAGCAAATAGTGATTCAGAGGGGCTATTTGGATAGCTCAGCGGCTTAAGTATCTGGCTGCAAAGCCTGAGGTTGGGAGTTTGATTTCCCACTGTGTCTCCAAAGAGAAAAGCCAGCATGTGTGGCCTCAGGCAAACTGCACAGTCTTGGGGTGCTCCCGGAAGAAGGGAATGGGAAACAACTTCTGAATATTCTCTACCTGGAAAATCCTGAAAAGTATTGTCAAGGACAGAATTGACTTGATGTCACATGATTATTATTTATAAAGGACTAGATGATGGTCAGTGAACTAAAGCTATCCCGTTTCCCCGAAAAATAAGACCTAACCTGAAAATAAGCCCTAGTATGATTTTTCAGGATGCTCGTCATATAAGCCCTATCCCAAAAATAAGCCCCAGTGAAGTGAAACCCCACCCTCGACCATTGTGCAGCAACCAGAAGAAGATGACATGACTGTAAAATAAAACAAGTCCTAATGTGTTTTTTGGAGCAGAAATTAATATAAGACCCTGTCTTATTTTCAGGGAAACACAGTAGTTCCTGAAAAGATGATGGCTCTATGAAAAGGTAACTCTTATGGGTTCTGTTCCAAACCACATACAGCACAACTTGTATGGGTAGGGAAAGTTTAATGTCTCTCTTCCAGCTGAGCTCCAAATGATACCCCAGTATATCAAATTAAAAGGGGGCATCCACTCCATTAGTGTCAAAGGAGGCTTCTTTCTTTTATTAGTTTTGTGTCTGAGAGAATAATTTTGTGAGAATTGGCTGAGGGTGGAGAATTATTTGCCTATGCATGATAGTCCCAATCCAGATAGGGGCCTCATGCATGATTAAACGAACAAAAAATGGACTTGCATCTTCACACTGATTACAACCCACATCCAAGGTTTCAAGGTGTGTTTGGTTGACTACTGATGACAACAGGATGCCTACTAGATTAATTTTTGTCTGCATCTCCCTTAATACTCTACTTAGGTGAAAAACCATTTGCAGCAATAAAACTTTAATCAAACATGAAGCAATTCTAAGAAATTCTTTATTTTCGTCTCTTCTCCCAATAGGTGTCGCTCTACTATACATAAACAAGGAGAAAAACTGTTAATTTTCTGCTGGAGTTTATAATAAAGAAGGCAATGTATTGTATCGCACTGCATAAATAAACTAAATAAATCTGTTGTTATTGTGTGCCATAAAGTCGCCTCCGACTTATAGTGATCCTATGAATGAGCAATCTTCAAAATGTTCTGATCTTAACTGCCCAGGTCAGCTCTTGTAACTTCAAGTGCTGTGGTTCCTTTAAAGAGTCAGTTCATCTCATATTTGGTATTCCTCTTTTCCTGTTGTTTTCCACCTTTCCTAACATTATTGTCTTTTCTACAGAATCCTGTCTTCTCATGATGTGCCAAAGTAGTACAGCCTCAGTTCACATTTTTACCTCCAGAGATAGTTCAGGCTAGGATCCATTTGTTTGTCTTTCTGGCAGTCCAGGGTGTCTGGAAGATCTACCACCAGCACCACATTTCCAAAGAAATAATTCTTCCCCATCAGCTTCTTTTACTGGCCAACCTTTACACACATATCATAGAATCAGAATCATCATAGGGTTGAAAGGGACCTTGGAGGTCTTCTAATCCAACTCCCTGCCCAAGGCAGGAGACTTCATACCATCCTGGACCTCATACCATCCTGGAGAGGTGGCTGTCCAATCTTTTCTTGCAAACCTCAAGCGATGGGGCACCCACAACATCGGGAGGCAAACTTCCACTGCTTAATGTTTCTCACCATCAGAAAATTCCTCGCTATTTCCAGGTCGGATCTCCCTCTGATGAGTTTCCACCCATTGGTTC